CATGCTGGGCTGTGCCCGCGGCAGATAAAGTGTACAAATTGGAGAGTCCACCAGGAGGCTAGGAAATCGATAAGATCGATATTCGCAAATCGATAAAGCCACATATCTCCTGCAATTTTAAGGCTAAAGTCACCAAATTTGGTTGGTAAGTTGTTGGCGATGTCCTTCAAAGATCGGCCACAACCACCTTACATTACTGCCGTCAAATTAGATGGGTATGTTACTGCTAGCTGCCTTTAACAACTGATAACAAATGGCAATGCCCACACCTGCGCCCATAATCCCCAATGCCGATATTTCGGAAAGTGTAAATCGATTTTGTGACCAAACTTGGAAGGTAACTTGCTTCCTCCAAGGATCGGCACATACATTTTCAGACCGCGCTCACACCCGGTGCCCCCAGGAACTTCGGCCCAAAATATCTAAAATGCGCACATCTTTCTCAATTTGTAAGCTAGAATCACCAAATTTTAAAAGTATGTTACTGGTAACTCTCCTAAGATATAGATAAATAATTGGATGGCCACGCCCACTCCGCCTCCCTAAACCGATTCACCTGTCTCACACAATTTGATAGCTAGAGTCACCAAATCTGAAAAGTGTATTGCTACTAACACCCTTCAAAAATCCGAAAAATAATTTTGGACCACGCCCACCCCCGCCCAGAAAACCTATCAAAGCCTATATCTCCCGCAATTTAAAAGCAACAGGTACCAAACAGCAAAGGAAGATTACTAGGAACCTTCTCTTATAATTTTCTCGGTCACGCCCACTTCCGCCATCAAAATTTTTGGGATTTCGGAACCATATCACCCATAATTTAAGAGCTAAAGTTACCAAACTTCGACGGAGCGCGACTAGCTTATATCTACCGCAATTCGAAAGGCAAACTTGGACAGTAATTCTTGACTTCACTCACCTTACACCCACACATTTCTTTATTACTTGTTATCCGCTGGAATAACTTATGGTATCAAAGTATTTCGCAGTTGGTTACGTCCGACTGAAATGTTCAATCTTGTTATAATTGTATTTTCGACAGATATAAAATCTGAATAAAGTCTCCATATATAAATGCTAAAAGTACATTCGGTGTATGAAAACCAAAATTTATTTAGAAGTATGTGATTAATTATATTGTTTTTAATCGTTGCCAAGCATCCGTACAATTTTACGATTTCAGCTTTTGGCAAGCAATTCCTCAAATCAATTGCCAAGCCCATCATTACCGCGAAAGACATTTCATTAGTTTGCGATGACTAATTATATTGTATTACGATGGAGTGCCAACATTTTATAGCTCTACCGTTCAGGAAGTTTGAAAGACTCCAATCACATGAAAATTGCAGTCGATGCAAATAAGAGACTTTAGAGCGAAGACCACATGAGGCTTAAAGGCCCCTCATAAGTCAAAAACGACGTCGTGGTCAAATAATTAACTGCCAAGCAGTCAAATAAATTAATTGCAGACAACCAGCGCAAGAATGCAGCATGTATGAAAATTGCTTCATAATATAACGGAAAAATAAGCATCAACAAGAAATCAAGCAAACACAGCTAGGTTAGATCTTGAGTCGTATTTTCTATTCTCACTTTTCACGGACGATCTAAGACGATACTTTAAACTGGAGAGCATCAGCAAGACTCACCTTTATAGTATATAGTACATAATGTGAAAATAATAATATTGCATAAAATACATACAGACATCGATAGCAAAATTTATTTTTGTTTTTCTACCAAATACTCTGATACCAATAAGTCATCATCTGGTAACAGGTGCCATAGAACATTATGGGTGGTCAAGAAATATCGATCTTTGATGGAGGATCCTAGTAATCTTTCCTATAAGTTTGGTTTTAAAACTGCGGTAGATATAGGCTTTTAGAATTTTGGGGGCGGGAGTGGGCGTGGCCAAAGAAAATACAGGAGGAGTTTTCTAGTTATCTACTTTACGAGTTTGCTAGCTTTAGCTCTAAAATTGTGGATTATATAACTTATTGAGAATTTTAATATTAGAGGAGGTTCCTTGTAATCTTTCTTCGATTTTTGGTAACTGTAGTTTTTAAATTGCAAGAGATATAGGTTTTTGAGAATATGGGAGGTAGGAGTAGGCGTGGTCAAAAAATTGTTGATGACTATTTGAAGACTCTAGCTTTCAAATTATATGAGATGTAAGGCTTTATCGATTTACACCACTTTGGTGACTCTACCCTACAAATTATTGTCAGGAGTGGGCGTGGGTACACATTTTTTTAACGTTTCTTAAAGGCTCAAAAACTGCGGATGATATAGCCATTTCCGATTTTCTTGGGCCTGGAGGCTGCGGAGGCTGCGGAAGTAGGTGGCATATGCCGATATTTGAAGGACATCGCCAACAACCTTCGAAACAAATTTGGTGACTGTAGCCTTAAAATTATGGGAGATCTGTGGCTTTATCGACTTGCGATTATTGATTTGATCGATTTGCTAGCATTCTAGTGGACACAGCACTCCAATTTTTACACTTTGTCTGACGCGGGCACAAGCCAGTATATATTCCAAGGTTCAAGGCTCTATCTCTAAGGGAATCGAATAAAGTAACACTCATGCAGACGGACAGGCAGCATGAAGAACATTGCACAAACCCAACATCTCTGGATACCTTCTATATCAGCGTATAAGCAGCACGCGGTCGTTGGTAGATGAGTTAACTAAGCAACATCAAGTATCAGGGTATGTACATGGTTCATGTCTTCGCTGAAGGGCTTTGTAATAGAAAAACTGATGCGAAATTATTTTTAAATAATCACTTAGCGGGTGTTTTATTATTGGCTGTGTTGAAAAAAAGTTGAGCACTCGTCCATCTCTACAGACAAGTGATCGCCTAAGTGATCGCTGCTTTAAGCCGTAATCAATTCGGCAGTTTTGAATGCATGTTAAATTAATAACCAGGCAATTAAAATCGCGCAACGCCACAATGCCATTTAATAAAGTTAGCATTTGTATAATGTCTTGTCAAAACTTTATCGGCATTTTTCCTTAATGCTTTAGCGTTTCTTGTTTGTTTGTTGTTGTGGCGCTTGAGATTGTGATCTCCGGTATGCCGCCTCGAATATCTTTAGCTGACCGCCAGCGGCGATTGTATTGGGCATGTTGTTCCCGCTGCCAGCTTGTATTGTTGTTGTTGTTTTTGTTATTGTTGTTAACGGGGGTTGGGGGGAGTGCTGACAATTAAAAGACATGAAGCGATTGCCGTTCGACGGCCATTTTCAACATTAATTTGGCTTGATTGCTGACAGTTAACTGTGCGATTAAGATCTGATAAGCCCGACAATCGCATAGTTTTCACCTTTTGCCTCATTGCGAATTGATTAACTTATGCAAATGCACAAATGTTGCCACAGATCTCGCTTTCGCACACCCCCAACAGCGTTGTTCAATCCGCCAGACAACAGCGAAGAGTCGGTCGCAACTGTGACAAAAGGCGTTGCCAAGCACGCTCTGTGGCAGTTGAACTCCCCTCAAACCGTCATAAAAAAAGAAACAAAAATATTTATACCTCTCCTCAAAATTGACTAAAGAGCCGAAGTTTTGATTTTTTCCTCTCCTTTTTTCTGTATTTCTAATTTCCAGCAAGCGGCGCTTTTTGGCTTTGCGGCCAATATACTTCAGCGACTTTGCATTGCATTGCAAAAAGATTCTCATGTTTTCCTTTTTTGGCCCGGTCCAAAGCGACTTCGATGTCGTCGTTGTCGGCGGTGTCTGTGGATTTTCAATTTCTAATGTAGTGCACGTTGCGCCCTGAAGGGATTTTTATTTTATACTTTTCGACTTTACGGTTTTATTTATTTATGCAAGAGTCGCAGCGCTCTAAGTACTGTAAAATGAAATTCAAGAAATCTCGCCACATATTTTAATATTGTGCTTGAGCTAATTAAACAAGTATTACTTAACCGTTTTTAATTTAAAAAGTGGTTTTAAAAAAAGTATATATAATTTAAGAGAAATTGATCTTGAGCAAAAGCTGAATTTTTGGAAAATTCAAAAACCAACTAGGGAAATAGTGGACGACCGATTTTTTTAAGATTTGATTTTAAAAATCCATCCATCAGACCAATTATGCATCAGCATAGGCTGGAAAAACATGGATAAATCACTGTTCTTCTTCTTCTTAGTAAATTAACTCTGTCATAGACAGCCCTTCAAATAATAATAATACCTAAAACATTAAGTTGCTCCACTGTGGTGCATGGCTTTAGACGCCATTTGATGACAAACTTCAAAGCGTTTGCATGCAATATTTGTTGTTGTGTGTTTTATGATTGCTAGTTGTGGTTGTTGGTTATTGTTGTTGTGATTGCCAGTGGTGATGGTGGTCTTGCACACTTTTAGTCATCACCATGTCAGCGGCGCAGACAGCGATGCAAACAATCAAAATGATATGCAAATATATGTAAGAGTACCGCTACGAAAAAGGCGTGGGTTAATTGTAACTTTATCAAACGAAGACCAAAAGGAACAATGAAAATTCGCAATCGAAAGGAAAAAATCAAATTTATTACAAATTTAAGCATAGAAACCAACACGACGGCCCTGGCGACGACTGTGACTCTTGGACTTCAGCTCCAGCTCCAACTTCGACGACTACGATGCGGCAAGTTATAGATTTCGTCATAGTTTCGGCAAGGCGAGATATGAAAATCTGGAAATAAACCTGTCAACCGACACCAACGCGCACAGCACTGTGAACTACGAACTTGCCGACTGCAGACCGCCCAGTCAACGGTGGGTGGGCGGTGCCAAAACTAAGCCACCAAAACGGTTAAATACATAAAACACATTAACACAGCACTGGGAACGGAAATGGTCGCATGCATATTAAGTTTTCCCATAGCAACCAAGTCGATTCGCCCTGCAGTCGAGTCGAGATTCGGACTAAAGCGTAACATATTCCAAAAACTTTAATGCAAACAACGGCATACGGGAACAGTAATAGTAACATTAACAGTAAAGCTAACCATAACCGTAGCGCAACCATAGCATCCATGTCAGACACACAAGTCCTGCCTGTAGAGCAGACGAAAGCCGCGACCCACATATTCGGCATCGGTGCGAAAGGGCAGCACAATAGGCCCGGCGGCAATGTCCCTCACAGTGGCATGCATGGTGAAGTCCTCGTTCTCGATGCCATCGTTCAGCCGCTCCCCGCACAGCCGCACCGAATTGATGGCTATGAAGTCGTCCGGGCAATTGAAAATGCCAGCGCCAGCCTGGCCATCACTCACCAGATCATTTTCAGCTGTGCACAGTTCGACAATTAAAATCTTAGATTCAACTCAACAACAAATGTTTCTTACCCTCATCCTTGTTGATAAGTTGAAAGTCGGGCTGATCACCGCCACGTTGCTCGATGTTGTAGCTAATGCTGCACACATTCTTGGAGCGTGCCAAGCACACTGCGTAATTCATATTGTTCTAGAAATGCCAGACATATAAATACCATATATGCTTATACTTGTTGGGAACTACAAACCAGGTAAGTGGCCTCCCGACTTTCGACAATACTGCCATCCACATCGTAGTTGAAGGATTTGATTATGCCCTCACCATCGCTGTAATATTGCAGGCAATTCACAGGGGCGAGATCATCTTCCAGTTGACTGATCTTGATGTTAAACGATCGCTGGCCACTGGAGACCTTGACAAACACCGAAAGGTATATCTTGCTCTCACTGGAGTCACCAACATGCACATAAACTAAGATAACAAATTAAAGCATCAATATAAAATCAGCTGATGGGTGATTCATGTACTTACTATGTTGGCCTGTGTTAATGCCACAGAGCATAGGTATTTTGAAATTGGCATTGTATCCAGATATGATGAACTGATCATCAAGGCAATCGCCATTTGAGGGGCGACTAAGCTGAAAAATTAATACCGTTTGCATATTTACAATTAAGAGTTGCAAATTAAAGTAACAAACCTGAAAAATGGGGCAGAACAAATTATTAGAGAAGGTTCTTCCTGCCAAGTTTGCTAACTGTAGCGATTAAATTGGGGGGATATAGATTTCTACGAATTTTGGAGGCGGTAGTGGGCGTGTCCAAAAAAATGTTAGAGTACGATCTTAGTAATCTACCAAATTATTTGTCCGGGTTTTATGAAAGTTATTAGTAGCAACACACCTTTCAGATTCGGTGACTCTAGCTTTCAAATTGTGTTAGATATATGGTCTTATCGATTTACACTAACAGGTGTACCGGTTTAGGGAGGCGGAGTGGGCGTGGCCATCAAATTATTTATCTATATCTTAGGAGAGTTACCAGTAACATACTTATAAAATTTGGTGACTCTAGCTTACAAATTCTGAAAGATATGTGCATTTCAGATTTGTAGGGTCGAAGTTCCTGGAGGCGGCGGGTGTAGGCGCGCTCTGAAAATTTATAAGCCGATCTTGGTCACAAAATCTTTAAAATTATGGGAGATATGCGGACTTATCGATTTACACTTTCCGAAATATCGGCATTGGCGATTATGGGCGCAGGTGTGGGCGTGGCCATACAAATTTGTTATCGGTTCTTAAAGGCGGCTACCACTACTATGCCTACCTAATTTGACGGCTCGATTTTCCAGCTTTCTAGTAGACGCAGCACTCCCATATTTACACTTTGTCTGACGCGGGCTCAGACCAGCATATCGTATGTTCGAAGTTTCAATCCCCTATCTCTAAGCGTGTCGAAAAAAGTTGCATTCATACAGAAGGACAGATAGCATGACGGACATTGCACAAAATCAATATATAATGATACCTTCGTTATCAAAGTATAATTATTGTCTCTTAAAACATATTTTAATACTACTTTAATATCCGATCAAATTTGCAGGGTGGCGCCCGTACCTTCGCGCATAATCGCCAAAAGCCGATATTTCAGAAAGTGTGAATCAATAAAACTGCATATCTCCCACAATTTTAAGGATAGAGTTACCAAACTTAGAAGGTAACTTGCTTGTAACCTCCTTCAAAGATCTGCATACTCATTTTAGTTCTTATCTTTGTAACCAATACACTGGTTTATCTAAATAAATAAAACTATATATCTCACACAATTTGAAAGGTTGAATCGCCAAATTTAGTAGGTACTCGTATATCACTAGTAACACGCTAAGAAAATTCGGGACCACGCGCACTCTCGAAAGTATTATTTTTAACTAATTGTGATCTTAAATGTTTTTTCTAAAGGTCTTTATTTATAATTATTTTCCTTATAGAACTCTATTCATTTAGGATTGTGAGAACACTCCCCAGGTAGCAAGGTCGTAAATATGAGAGGATAGAATGAGAGATTTAATTGAACAATATTTTTCGATTTTTAACTATTTACGTTAGTTTAATTTTTCGATAATTCTCTTCCCAACTTAACAAATAAAATACAACATTAATCAGCCAGATTAGAATCACATAAGTTATAGTCGTATTGTCATATTGAACTTATTGCTATCATCAGGCACATGATTTTTCTGTGAAAGGGACGCATGATAATCGAATCGAGTGCTAATATATCTGATGTTTATATTAATATGGTCATATGCTTATGTACATACCTCGAACATTTGAAAATCTAGGCGCAGCTGCTGCACACCTTTTTTCACATTCACGATCAGTACGCAGATCATCATTTCGCGGACCGGCTGCGGATAGTTGGGACTCTCGAAGTATACGGTCTGCTGGCTGGTAACATCACCGCAGCCGTTAACAACTGAAAGCGAAAGCCGTTAAGCCTGAGCACTTGATAAACCACAATGAAGCACATGATCACTTGATCAGTTGATCATTTGAGCACTTGATCACTCTTTATTGATGGTGCACATGAGCACACATGTAACGCATACTCACAGATACAACAGGCACCAACACCCTCAGCACAGCTCTCGGTGGGTATGCCACCCAAACTCTTGCACTCGAACTCATGATAGCAGACACCCTCCATGGTGCGAATGTCGCCCATGGAGACGCTGCACTTGGTGTTGGGGAACTTGATCACCTCGAAGAGACTGAGGAAACCTTTACCCTTGGATTTGGGTGCGGTCGGTTGCTTTAGTATGAGATTCGCTTCGATCGCAGAGCCATGGATGAGCTGATTCAGCTTTTGTGCCAATTTACCAGAGAATGTATGTGGCCGCATAATGGAGGTGCGTGTGCTGGAAGGAATTGGCATCACTGGCGGCACCATCGAAGGTCTTTGCGTTGGCCGTGGACTCGGCATCGTTTCGGTGCTACTCTGCGTGGGCATCATATCCGTAGCGGGTGGTGTTCCAGGCACATCTGTCGACGGTTCCATGATAGTCGGACGCATTGGAATGGTCGGCTCGGGCTCATCAGGCTCCGTAGGCTCAGGGTCTATAGGTGCCGGCTCTGGCTCTGGTGGCTTTCCCTCTTCTGGCTGCTGTGCAAATTTCTGAGGTCGCATACTCGGCTGATAGCGCAGCGTGTAATGAAAGCCGACTCCTTCGATGGCCATGCCACCCAAACGTTGTGGGGTTCTTATGGCTTCACTGCTGCCATGTCTACTCTTCCTTTCGCCCAGTGTCACAAAGTCTCTTTGATCATCTTCAGTGGCGACCACTCCCACATAATAGAGCATCAAAACGAGAGAGCTTATCAACACATCGCGTTTTGACAACATTATTAACGGAACTTCGCTCAGCGACTGCCTGCAGATTGCTACAAGCTGCAATCGCTGCCGGGGCTTCATCTGCCACAATCTCGGCATGCAACTGCTGCATGTTTTCTTTGGCTTTATTAGAGCATTAATTGTAGTCCCCACCAACGATGTTGTCGGTTGTCATCGTTGTCATCGCAGCCGGCTTTTCAGCTTTTCCCATCTTGGCTGCTGGGCAACCTTCACTTTTCCAGTATTTTCTTGCGTTCCTCGACGATCAAGCAACAAAGTCACGCCAATGTAGTCGCACAAGTGCCCCTCGTTGAGTGTTGCATTTGCAATTGTTGCAGCTGTTTTTGTTGTTGCTTTTTCGCAGCAACAATTGAGCTGTGTGGCTATGTAACGAAATGTGAAATATTTTTGCAAAGTACTTCGAAGCAACTCTTTTGCCTTCGGGAGGTCTGGGCAAAATAATGAAATGACCTGAGAAGATGAGTTGACAAAAATGCCGCTAAGATATGGCACATTTGAAGATAAGCTGACAACTTAAGCAAATCCAAATTCTAAAAAATGTTAATGTAATAATAATCTCCATAGAAGACCTCAAACAATTATTAACAGAATCTGCTTCCTTAAAATTGTGTGTATCAGCAGCAGCCTGAACATTAATTTTAAACATATTATAAAATACTATCGAACTCTCTCACATCATAGATCCTCCTCCTTCTCCAACTCCAAATAAATGCACATCCTTTTAGACTAGATTTCTTAACAAAAAAAAAGCAATTTAACAAATAAAATAAAAAAAAAAATCTTGTAAAGCGTAAACTCAATGAGTCTAAGGTCTTATGTGCTATTTGTCTTTAATCTATATTTTTCGATTAGAAGATAGATAGATAGCTAGCTTTAGATAGATAGATAGCGTTATATAAAATTGGAATAAAATGAATATAAAATCTACACACATTAAATATACATATTACATATTTTTCTTGGCCATTGAAACCAATTTTTATCAAATGAGTTAATTAGTTTTTTAATTAATGAAAACAAGGAAAATTGCTGTAAAGATATATTTTAATTAGTATATTGTAATTAGTTGTAATAGTAATTAGAATTCAGCTTCATACACAAATCTATTGTATGTTAATTGCATTCACAGAACTTGCACTTTGTAGAAGTAGTTATGTGTATTTGTTATATCACCATTGCACATTGATCACGAAGTGAAAAATCAACGACTCATAATCATAATATTTAAAACTAAACGCCCGCATTGTCGCTTCAAAATATCTGTCATGTTAGATTTGCGTTTTAGCTTTGTTTTTCAAGTGCGCAATTATTTATAATTTTTGCCAAGCTGTTTAGATGATGCCAGCAACGTGTTCTGTCTCTCTACAACAGTAATAGACGACAACAGCTGCAACTAGTATTTTTTTATTGTTGTTGTCAGTAGTGCATAATAATACCAATTGAAGTTGCCTCTGCCAGCAATTAACAATTTTAGCCTTGTTGTGCATGATGCATGTGCTTCTCGCAACTCTCAGATGATGATCATGATGTTGATGCTGATGATGAGTAAAAATAATGCACTTGCAATCGTTCATGAGCATAAAATGCTGCTAAATGATTGTGATTTTGATATTGGTTTATGTGTATGATATTTTTCGTTTCTTTACTTTGCACAGTTGGTGAGTCAAGTGCTCTTCGATCGGTTTTGCAATTAAAATGACTTCGATCTTATGAAACGCAAGCTCCATCATCGCAATCATTGACATTGATATTACCTGATGGTACCGATTTGCATACTCGATTGCCGGCAACACTCTCATTAGGCACTATTAATTATGAAAGTTTTAATTGATTTTGAATAGTCCAACGTCTCTTCGAAACTTATGTGTCAATGCTGCAATGTCAATTGAATCGGTTAACGACTCGACTCGTTAGTATTTAATTTATTTGAAAGTAATTGTGTTTAACACACCTGACATCGATGAGATTGCTGGTATTTGCCTCGACGGTCTCTTTATGACTCGGAGTTATTCAAGTGCTGGCGAGCACTCAAATAAGTATTTAGTCAGCAGTCGACATCAGGAAAACGGGTTAGCAATTATGTGTGTACTTTTATGGGGATTGAAGCTATGCATTAGAAAGTTATTGCGCAAAATATCAATGTGAAATGCTATCAGCAGACGAGTAATTGGCATGTAAATGAGAATGTCATTAAGAACAATCTTTAAGAGTAAGTAAAAGAGTATTAAAAAAAAAAAAGTCCTGAATTCTAAATATTTATTAACAAGCAAGTCGTTAATAGGTTATTAAGATTAATTTCAGAAAATACTACTCATTGACTACAGTCAGAACGAAAACGAAATTCACATATATATGACAGTAATTATATTGACTGCATAAAGTCTCTTATATTCTCACAAATGATGATGGCAATATTTGCACAACACTCATACATTTGCATTCAACTCCATCTGCATCCGTCAACTCTTGTCAAACTTGAGCGAAACAGCTGCTGCCTTGAAATCGGCTGTTTGTACACTATATAAAAGCCACGTACAGACAATTCACATCCATTAATTGAATCAAATCGAACGTTACGCATGCGTCACGCCAAAAGACAAAGGGAGCCGCCAATGCTCGTATCCAAGTTACTGGGAGAGGCTCACACATGTGCTCCTCTGCCATAGTTCATTATGAGCATGTTTCTGTGATGAGAGCAGACCAGACCAGACCGGGCCGTGCCAGATCAGACCAGGCCTGGCCAGGGTGTCCACTTCAGACAACGGATTGTGTACACATTATTGTTATTGCTATTATGTTATGTATTTGTATGGGCCAAATGGAAATCGCAGTTGGAGCGCAAAAAATCCAAAAGTGCACTCAGCAAAAAATTAGATACCGTTGAATTTAAAAAATTTACATATGTACTTTTGAATATCTATGTATGATTAATGATTTTGTCAAACTACGCATCTTGTCTGAATCAGAACTTAGATTTTTCATAAATCTTGTTTGTTAAATCTTGTTCGAAAAAATATAAATTAGGTATTTATTGAAGTGTCGATAAGAAGCTATTAAAGGTGCAATTATTTTCAATACAAAAAAAAACGTTCTAAAATTAACTTGGATATTTATTATTGAACTGTAGATAAAATTGTATCAATGCAGCAAACATTTGTAATTTTTTCTGAATTGTATGTAGAAAATATCAAAATTATTAAAAACAACATATTTGGAAGTAATAAAAACTAAATCAGATATTTAATGAACTTGCGATAATGTCCAATCAAATTATCTTGTAAAAATGATCAAGTACACTAGCAAATTTTTGTCCGCGTGTAAGTCTAAGAGTGGGAGGCAGGAGTAGACTAGCTGGGTGCTGGTGGTGGAGGTGATCAGCGAACTGGGTGCTGGCTGCTGGGTGCTCGGCACTTGGCAACCGGCAAATCAAACCGTGGCAAAACCCACTTAATTGACATTTAGTGGACACTCGAATGCGAATACGAATGGAAATTCAAATGCAGGATGACTAGTCGCAGTGGCAGTTGCAGTTGTAGTTGCAAAGCGAGTGCCAAAGAAAGAGAGCTGCGTTAAACGGCAGGCGATGCACATCAGTGCTATAAGTAGTGTTCCATTTGGATGGCTGTCCATTTGTTGAATGGTTTGGCATTCTAATGCGACTTTAGCCACAGCCACGCCAATGATGACGACGTTGATAATGAGCATATTGCCGCTGCTGTTGCTGATGTTGCTGATGTTGTTCTTGTTGTAGCCATGATTTCTGAAGATGCGGCAGGAAAAGAAGCAGCAGCAGACATCATTACAATATAATTGATGGGTTATACGCCGTTAACGGTAAATCGAAAGCTTTCTTTCGCATTTTGGCTTTTTGGCCAATTCGCTTGCCTGTTTTGTGTTTGGAAATTATTATTGTTCCGTATGACAGCTCACAAGTTGTGCGTATGCATATGCATATGAATAGGGATGGCGTATAATGCAACCAAATCGGTCGCAAATTTTTGCGCATTTGACATAGAAAATTACTTTGCATTTGCGGCTTGTGGCTTAGGTGGTGCCTTTAGTGGAAACTAAACATTGGTTTCCCACCAGCAATCGTCCCTCATTCAATATATATTAATTCACTATATATTCACTATAATTTTTAGCGTAAGACTAAAATTATGAATTAACTTAGTCTGCTCACAGTTTTAATGACAATCTCGAACAATGAGCCAATCTCAAACAGCCCTTAAAAAAATTATAATATGCTTTTCAATGTCATTTTTGTTGAAACAAAGTCAACCGTCACTGTAAGTGACGTTTAAATCGTACAATTTCAGCAACAAAAAATGTATACAGTGCAAAACCACTTTTGCGGTTACGGTTTTTTAGATGTTGTGTTTTTTCGTCCATGTGGTCTTCGTTATAATGCCGCCTAAACCGCAGCTGTGTCGGTTTTTTATATCTTTACCATGTTGCATGCACTAAAAAACGAGAGAGCGATTTGAAGCTTGCCATAAATGGTGCGTTAATTAAATATGTTATTATTATAATGAATTGGGTAAAAGTGTGGGGAAATGTGGGCCGGCGGATGCGCTACAGAAATACAAATTAATATTATTAAATAAAAAATCAACAAAATTTTCAATTCAGACAAATTAAAAATGATTTTTTAATAATAAATTAATACAAATATACAATATTATTTTGCAGCTACAGAAATACAAATAAATATTAAAAAGCAAACATTCAACCAAATTTTAATTTTAAATTTAAAATGTTCTCTTAACTTGAATAAAAATATATACAGTATATTTTAGGTAAAGGTAAAATTTTCCTAACATATTTCCTTAAAGAATAAAAAAATTATTTTATAGTATGTATAAATTGTTATTTTACGAAGACTAAAGATAATTATGTCATGTAACTTTAAAATAAATCGATTGTAAATATCTAAAGCAGATTCAGAAAATAATACATCAATTCGTCAGCGTATTACGCATATTATATTT